TGTTGTTGCATCCCATGTTCATCCTGTGAGCTGTAGTATGTTGTTTGCACCCCAAATGTTCATCCTGTGAGCTGTAGTATGTTGTTGCATCCCATGTTCATCCTGTGAGCTGTAGTATGTTGTTGCATCCCATGTTCATTTTGTGAGGGGTAGAGCAACACCAGAATTACGGAGGTCACAATGAGAATTTATCAAACCCCACTGGATATAATTGTATCATATAGATATTACTACAATAACTTCATATATTTCAGTCTCGTCACATAACTAATCATCTATCTATTGCAATATTTGCATCCAGTCTCAAAATTTCCTATATTTTATTCCCATTACAAGCACTGATCCTTTCCTAGGTTATAATCTTATCACAATTATATGTTTACGTATCCAGCACCACTCCATGTTTATAATCTATCCTACATCACTAAATCCGCGTTGCCTACACAACTCCATGTCCAGGTATCGTATACAACTCCTTATCCATGTATCGTACACAACTCTATTGCCATGTATCTTACACTATCCGTGTCGGCCATCCATGTCGACGTATGCTCAATGTCCATCATCTACTCTACACTTGGACGCTTTCCGTGTTCTTGGATTGGTCCTGGGAATAGGAGCAGCCGTGTGGGGCACTGGCCTTGCCCACAATGCAGCAGAGGGCCTGGTGGAGCACCAGCAGCGGCTCCTTCAGACCCTGGCGTACCCCAGGCACCATGGCGAAGTACAACACGAAGTTCAAAGAGAAGCCCAGCACCTCCAGGCAGTTGGCCACTGCCCGGAACACCTGTAACAGAAGAGTTGATAGTTGAGCACCAGCAACAATGTATTTTATATAGAACTGGCAGAACTCCCGCAATTTAAAGAGCCAGTCACAAAATACAGCAGCTGGAACAAATCACAACCCACAAACTGGAAAATGGATGGTGGAAGAGGCGATCAGCCGAGAAGTGGAGCGAAACGTCGTTATAAGAAAGGCTTTCGCTGTTTTATTTTTTCATCCTTCTGGAGACTAGATAACGTTTCTGTCCGTCCTGGACAATTATCAGAGCAACGTAATAATGGCTTTAAACCAAAATATCTCCTAGTTGTATAGCTTAATTTGTGAATCTGAAACATATATATTTTATATATATATATATATATATTATTTTATATATATATATATATATATATTATATAAAATATATTATATATATATATATATTAAAATTAATCACAGAGTCAGTTTTACATTTGGTCGAATTTAAAGAAAGTCATCAACCTACATAATTACTGGTAACATTTAAGAGTCGTAGATGGACATTAGTAACAGTCAACTGACCCTTCACGGGAGGTGCCCTGAGGCTGGTGAGGGATTTTTGATCCAAGGAATTGAATTTGTCCTTTAAACCGAATCTGCCTCCCATTCCCCCAGGTGCTGTATGACCCCTATGAGTTTAGCGCTGTTCCTTAAATATAATAATAATAATGTGACAGTTCAATGATGTCTTGATGTTGGTAAAGAGCTCTTAATCTTAGGAATTAGATCAAACCTGATTACCCTACATTCGCAAGGCGCTGTATAACCCCTACAGGTTTAGCGCCTCTGCATGAATGCAGTAAAAAAACACTTACCTCGAGTGAGAACGAGCCGTGTGTGGCCCCTGCTGTGTCTATGAGCGCCAGGACGGTGGCTGGCAGGTTGGTCAGCAGGAAAGTAGTGACAATGGCCAGCAGTAGGTACACGAGGCGCTGCTCCTGTTGGCTTCTATCTTCATTACTGCTTCCCGCGACGCCCTTATTTTTCGTAATTACTCTGCGCCGTGATGTCACTTTATTGAAGGTGTAAATGATGGAAGCGTTGAGGAGAGCAAGGAGTATAGCAGGAAGCATGCGATGACACAGCTCCACTACCACCGTCCACACGTACCATGCTTCAGGGACAAGCATCTCTAGGCCAGTGTATGTCCATCCAGCCCCGCTGTCGGCAGGTACTACTTCCTGGTAAAAGCCGTGAGGAATGTAGAGTAGAAGCGGTAACAGTAGGGATAGTGTGATTCGGATGACAGCGAGGCGGGGAGCACTGACATCCTGGTAACGTCGAGGATGACACACAGCGATGTAGCGGTCCACAGACAGACCCACAACGATGTATACACTGGAGCTTGTCAGGGCATTTAACACAGGGATTTCCAAGTGAGCGTAATAGAAGGCCCAACCGTAGGAGAGGTGGCGGCGGTCGAGGTTAGCAAGAGCTGGGAGGAGGGCGAGTGAAGCCAACATCTCCGTAAGGGCGAGCCATATGAGGTAGAAGAAAGTTGTGGCCTGAGAATGACGCTGAGTGTGCTGCCGCCTCGCCCTGGTCAGCATCACCACATTCACCAGGTTGGTCAACACTCCCACGCAGATGAACGCTGGCATAATGTAGCCGTAAGCAACCTCCTCAAGCAGGGCCATCTGATCGTCTTCAGTGGCACCCTCTTGACCCTCCTCCATGGTGCTGCTGGTATTGTTGCGCATGGTATGTAGGCCTACGTTCTGTGGAAACAAGTAGTGTACTAGGAAGGCATACATTAGTATGAAACTGGTGAGCTTGTTGGGTACCGCTACTCATCTTGTGAGTGGAGGAAGCACCATGATGACAGTACCGAGTACCATCTAATTATTATTATCACATTCCTGTGGAAGCGCCTAGGGAATCTGAGGTATTTAGGTTGGATCTGAGAAAAGAGAGGGTAGCTGTAATTCGTCGGGTCTATCTGGACGGTGTTTCGGGGACCAACGCCCCCGGCCCAGTCCTTGACCAGGCCTCCTGGTAGATCAGGGACAGATCAACCAGGCTGTTATTGCTGGCCGCACGTAATCCAACGTACGAACCACTGATCAGTTGATCAAGTACTGACTTTGGGTATCTGTCCAGCTCGTTTAGATCATTCAGTGCATGACAGTGGAGGCTCGATCCTCCGTCCGCTAATCGTGTGACAGTAACTCTACTTTCTGGTACTTATCAAACTCACACATAGCCGTGGAACTACGGATGTTCAAACCATCTAGACCGGATATGTGTACACAACGGGATACGCATTATGTATTAGTGTGTCTAAACATCCAACCTCTCAGAGATACCGCCAGTCACCTTACACAGGATATGTGAAAACACTTCATTGTAAATGATAATATATCTGAAATCTCGAACTTGTATCCACATTTTCCATTGACGATGAATAAACTGTTTTTATAAAGATTGCAACCCAGTTATGATAATTTTGGTGGTAATAAGATATATATATATATATATATATATATATATATATATATATATATATATATATATATATATATATATATATATATAATATATATATAATTGAGATTATATTCCTTGCTGTACTATATGCAACAATTATTTGAAGCAATTGTAAAATGTGAAATGACTAATATTTCTTCCTAGTGATGTAACAATACTCAGTGGGGTCTGATAGAGACCCATTGTGACCTCTGTAATCCTGTTTTTTTGCGCTTCCACTCACAAGATGAGCATGGGTGATGAGCATGGGTGATGAGCATGGTTGATGAGCATGGGTGATGAGCATGGGTAATGAGCATGGTTGGTACAATGAACTAGCAGCTCAGGTGACACAACTAACTAAACAAGATGTGGATATAAATTCTCTGGAAAATGTACAAAGGAGGATGACAAAGTTGATCCCATGTATCAGAAACCTTCCCTATGAGGATAGACTAAGGGCCCTGAATCTGCACTCTCTAGAAAGACGTAGAATTAGGGGGGATATGATTGAGGTGTATAAATGGAAGACAGGAATAAATAAAGGGGATGTAAATAGTGTGCTGAAAATATCTAGCCTAGACAGGACTCGCAGCAATGGTTTTAAGTTGGAAAAATTCAGATTCAGGAAGGATATAGGTAAGTACTGGTTAGGTAATAGAGTTTGTGGAAGAGTGGAACAAACTCCCAAGACCGTTATAGAGGCCAGAAACGTTGTGTAGCTTTTAAAAATAAGGTGTGATAAATAACATGAGTGATGTGGTGGTTGTGAGTTAGACTGATAGCTTGTGCAACCAGGTCGGTGCCGTGTTCCTCCTTAATTCACTGAGACCTGACCTGACTACGTTGGGTGCATTGGCTAACCGGTAGGAGACTTGGACCTGCCTCGCATTGGGCCAGTAGCCTTCTGCAGTGTTCCTTCGTTCTCCTTATGTCTATATGTTTTATGTGACTACACACCCCCCTCAACGGACCTCAGTTCAACAAAACACACGATCACTCAGGTACACGGAGTTCACTACCTTATCACAAGATAGGAGCACAAGGGCTTCTCTGTTCTGCGGCGAAAAAGAAGAGGCCACGATGCTCCATGAACTAACGGAGTACCGGAATTTGGAAATGTGGGGTGGCCATTCTAGCAAAGTTGTGAGAGTGAAGAGGAGATCCTGCCTCACAATGTAGCATATCTGACAGTTCCCAAAAATGGAGCCAGCGACAATGGAAAACAGTGAGGAAATATAACACACCCATCCCCCGAAAACCAAGAGGGCTGGAACACTGTGGACAACAAGAAGCGCCGTCCGTCCAAGGAGCAGGCAAACCTAGCTCAGCCGACCTGGCAAATTCAAGATGAAGTCTTACGGTGACCACACAGAAACCCACTATGTCGTTTTTCATACCTGGAATCACGACACAATACAACCTGAAGTTCACGATGTGGTTCAACTTGAGGAAGAGAACCATATTGGACTCCTCACAACAAGGAATGTAAACCACCTTGAAGAGAGTCATGGATACAGATCCTTCATTCAATCACCCTGGAGCACTGGGAGACTCTCGCAAAGATCACCAAGGTGTAGTGATTCGAAAACCCACTGAGATGCCCCATCGAGGAAGTAGCAGCTCACCCCCAGTGTGGTGTCAGCTCAACGTCTCAAGGCAAAGACGGCAGCAACACACCAACCCGACAGGTCCTCATTCAGCATGGAAGGACCACTGCCCATCCCGGCTGAACCTCGGTTTCGTGGGGCAGGTACGATGTCAGACCTTCACAGCAGAACCAGTCGCTGATTCAAGTGTCAGCGTTATGGACACCTGGGTGCACTCGCCGAACAGAGTGTCCTGCAGGCCAGCACCAACCCCTACAGAGGAATGCATCACCAAGCTGAAAAAATGCATCGCCACCCACTTCAAAATGCCCGAAACTGCAGGGCAGAAGCCACCATGCCCTGGAATCCTCGATGGCCCGAGAGGCTCTCCAGAATTCAAGGAGTCTGGAAGACGCCAAAACTCGGCAACAGGCTACGACGGATCAACACTTCTCTCACAAACGATGGGTGCAGAGAACCCTGTCCCATGTCTGCATATACTCTCAGCATCTAACCCAAGACAATGCCTATGAATTCCCAACACCTCGAAGCCTAAAAAGGATCAAGGTCAATAACCAGTCCTGCGCCCCTACATACTCACGAAGAAACAGAAACAAGAGGAACAGGAGCGTCAGCAGGGTACATCTGTCAATGTGTGATCAGCAGCGGCACTAAACGAGCCTCCAACCGGCCATAGCACACAACGCAGGGCACTCCTTACCCGCACAGGAGCAGGCGCTTTGCAGACTCAACTGGCACCTTACCAGCAGATCCCGGCTACTCAACCCTGGTATACAGCAACCGACCACGGTGCATACAATAAAAGAAATCCAACCCTCAGCAGTCCCTACAGACCACAACACCCAGATAAAATCCACTGTTTCGAACCCAACCCCAAAAGCAGTCCCTCACCAGGGAGGATCTCGTAGCACTACCAGGTGTTCACGGATTCTATTTGCACAAACATAAATCAACTCCACGGAACAACAGAGCACATTCCGTCAGATGTCACTACCTCCTGAGAGAGTGCTTACTGACCGGAGGGAGACAGTGGATGCCATGAATTTGCAGGTTCACAAGAGCGGGCAGGACTTCAGTCACCAGCTCAGGAAAAAAGAGCGATGGAAAAACCTCGGTACCAAATCACACCCACACAGGTCTACAATGGAACATTCAGGGCCTCAGGAGCAAACAGCACCTCTTGCGCTTGGAGGCAGTAATTCGGGCTCGTGTTGACATCGTTCTTTCTGGCAAGAAACTCTGACTGTCCCGTACTATGTGCCCAAGACTACCCGGATTTGCTGGTTATTTTCGGACCCGGGCATTCCACTGCAGAGGCACATCTTCTTTGTATCCAATACAATACCTCACGAGGTTAATAACCAACTCTGTGGACTGTGGGGATGATGTCGAGGTACAGGCCCATCCTTGTGCTTACATACCTGGGCGCCCATTACCATCTATAACATCTACAAGAACCGCAAGACACACCCCTCGACATTGCCAAGAGCTCCATGCACTAGCTCGCACTGAGTGTATTAATTTGTTGGGGGAGATTTCAACGCACATCACCCATACTGCACTCTCAATCAGCAACCCAATGCTGCTGGCAGACACAAAGCAATGCTCCTAACGAAGTTCCAGAGGTAAGTTTGCTAAACAATGAGACCCCACACAACCTGTTGGGTGCTGCCCTCGACCTTTTTTGGATCAAGACAACTCGCAGAGGAGCCACATGGGAATCTCATCCTCACCTTGTCAGTACCACTTTGCAGTGATCACCACCTTCAACATCAACAGGGCCTCCCACATTTGTTGCTGCCTCCTAGATGGGACGTAAAGATGCCAACTGGATGGTGGTTCCAGATTATCCTTCATGACTGTTGGAGCCACATACCTCCCCCCCCCCCTTCTAACTTGAAAACGGTGATACGGCTGAACAGAGCTAATCACTTTTCTCATCACCCAGACAGCATAGTGCGCAATTCCAAAGAAGTACTGCAGGAAGCACTCACAAAAGAGACTGGTGGTTCTACAACGACGAGTGCTGAGCAGAACCACCGCATCAACTCTTTTAGGAAGCTTTACAGGCGTAAAACCCTACGGCAGAAAACAGAATACTCTGAAGCCATTGTGCAGCATGCCTGCAGAGTCTCTCTCAAGTAAAAACCTGAGAATGGTTATGGAGTGGTGCTCCACATTCGGGCATCACACCACCTTATCTGAGATATGGGGGCTAAGCTCAACATAGCACCTGGCAAGAGCAAGCCGAGGCCACCACACACCCGAAACCATCCCAGTAAGCTGAGAAACTAGTGGAGCATTTCACTTCCATCGAGTCCACACTCAGCTCCCCATAGGTACATGGCCGAATATATCAATGGATCCTTCTGCCACAAGCAGCGCCAGCTAACGATACAGGCTGCATGTGAGATCGGAAGATGTGACTTGATGAAGACTCACGACTTGGAACTCCGACGTGCCATTAAGAACACAGGTGACACTAGCCCTGGGATCGATGGTGTTACGTACTCCCATGATTGCACGGGCTGGGCAGAGTGGATGGGAGGCCCATACTAGACGTCATTAACAAGTTGTGGAGGGCCAGACCACTCCCAGCAGCTTGGAAGAAAGCCTACCATCGTACCATTATCAAAGCCAAGGACCCAGGCAGTATGAGCCGAATATCGCGACCAGCTGCTTAGCCAAGACTGCTGAGAATATGGTTATAAAAAACCGCCACCTATGGAAACTTGGACCCTCTCATCATCACATATTTTGGCTTCACCAAAGGAGTGGTCAGCAGAGTGCATAACCACTCAACTAAGCCAGATTGAGCTGATAGTAACAAAAAACCTAGTATCGTCGTCTACCTCGACCTTGAAAAGGCATTTGAACTAGCCACCCCCACAGCAATTCTGGCAATAACTAGCTCGGAAGGGAATCAAAAGGACGCCTCCTGGCTTGGATAGAGTCTACCTAAGGGTCAAGGCATGCCTGTGTCAGCATTCAGGGACACTACTCGTATTCTTCCTTTAAAAACACTGAAAACGTACACCACCAAAGAGGTGTGCTCAGTCCTAACCCTGTATAAGCATCCTTATGCAAGGAACTTGTGAGCCTTCCCCTTTCATATTGGTAACACAGCATCCCTCAGTCTAATGCTGATGATCTTGCACTCGTAGTGAGAATGGGAAATGCAATTTAAAGACAGGCTCAGAGAGCTCTGGACCTAGATAATGGAGTCTTGCAAGGAACTAGCCTCATAGATCTCGGCGAGAAATCTCTGCAATGATATCAAGGTACCAATCCCTGTGAATAGATTTACGTATTCAGGATATAGCAACTTGAGTGACAGGTC